ACTACTCATTTGTGAAAATGCGAAAAGGTAATTTTACCTTTTATTCCAGCATTTCAGTTTGAGTTATAGTTTAGCTTTGTGTCAAGCTAAATATCTCCAAAATAAAGTTTTTTTCTTCAGATTTTCCTATTCTCAAGTGAGCTTGTTCTGAATGCGACAGTAACTAAATCCTTTTCGATTTAATGAGGGCTTCTTTCAAAGTGTATTCGCCATTCACGATCAACGTATCACTCACAGCCGCAAAATTTGGGGAACCCGCATCATCATTTTGTTCAACCTGGGCATTGTCATCATCGTCATCATCATCATCATCATCATCATCATCATCGTGAGCATCATCATCATCATCATCATCATCATCNCTACAGTCACGTGGAGCCACTCCGATCGGACTCTGAAAAGTTTGCTACACATCACTGGCACATGATATGATGCTGATTGGTCATTGGGTCATGGGTCGCAGTGTCATCCTATTGCCGGGGTAGAAAGTTTTTATCTGTCGGCACAGAGAACAATACTCGCAGNNNTGTCTCATACAATAAATGGGTTTCTACAGCCATTTGTAGGTGCATCAAACCGTTCTAGTTATCAGGCTATTTTTGCACGGGCACCACATAATAAATAGTACTACTTAGACCTCACTGTCGGAAGACGGATCCGAAAGCTTTATTTGTGTACAAACAGAACAAATTTCACTTCTTTGACATTATTCAGTCCGTTTACCATGAAATTAAGGTAAACATAATCCCAGTTATTTTAGATTGGAATTTCCTAATTGGTCACTGGAATGCTTGTTTGTCTAGCTGAAATTTTAGGGGTTAATATATAATAAATTTACTCCCGCTCTGTATGGGTATTCATATAAGTGTTCTCGAACCTCGAGACACATCTGTTTGTTCCTCGTTGCCACAGTATCGGTGGAGTACTAAAATTGTCTTAAACACACATTGTTGTTCACAGGACGAGTAGAAGGGGGGGAGGGAGTGAGTGCTATCGTACCCGTGCGGTACATTGCATAACCCCTGACCAGAACCTCTTACAAACCGATTTGACTTTGCAGGGTCATTTAACGAAGTAAAATTCCTCGCGATTGGAATGGAATGGATCCAAACTCTGGTTCTGTTCGCATTTCGATTCAATGTCAGCCGGATAGAGTTTTGAATTCTTCTAAAGTTATGTGAATGCAAGAATTTGGGGAAGAAGTGACACAAGTCGGAGGTAGAGTGATGGTGGGAGGGACAGGCAGGCTAGAGTATATTATTGATGTTTAATGCGTATTCTATCCAATAAAATAGCAACATGCAAAATTAGTCCCTTGTGGGTAGTCATTAGAATAAAAGTTAACTAGCAAACAAGCTCGGTTTTGGTGCTAAACAAACTTGCTAAGTAGAGTACAATTCATAATGGATTCCACAGACTGTGAGAAACAACATACCTGCGAAAGAATTCAGAATTGACTGAGTTGTGATAATTGATGTTTGTGAGCGTGTATGTCTGTGTATGTTAGCGTGGAAAGTGAATAATGATGGGTGGTTGTGAACGGTGAATGGGTGAATGAGTGAGTTCAGTTCACCAGATTGTTAGTGATGGATAGCCATTGTAAGACCAGGGTTCTTACAAACTGTTTTTGGGCACACAACTGGCGTTGAGGGCGGGAGGGGGGGGGTGTTATGGAGAAGGATGGCGATCACCTCGGCTGTTGACAAAAGTCAGAAACATGCTCCTCTGAGTAGGTCTTCCGATCATTGTATGTTAAAAGTGTGTCTAACTGTATGCAGAAAAATCAACCGGTACATGTTTTTAAGAAGACCATCCAAGATAATGAGTCAAAGAAATGGTTCATCGGAGGCTAAGATCCCTGATTACGGTCAAAATGTTTTTAGTTGTTTCCAGATCCAAACCTTTCTGTTCTCTGTGAACATTTTATTGACTAGCGCAATTAACCCATGTTGCCCACTTCAAATGGTCTTCATCCATAAAGATCTAAAGTCATGACCTTTATCAAAACCGCTACGCAGTCAGAACGAACAGGTCTATAAGCATGGGTAGAGAACCCATGTCAAGTGACTTGCAATTTTGATCAAATATGAAATGGATTCTTTAAATAGATTGTGTATGGACACTATCTTAGGGAATTTCACTTGTCGTGGCATGCTGAGAATTATCAATCGCCTGTGTGACAGTACCAATAAACACAAAAGGAAAAGTATCG